CTTCATGACCTTCTCCTCGCTTCCACCTTTCAAAGTCTTCTCTCTTCATCTCTTCAAACCTTTCTTCTTCTTCTTTCAAAAAGGCAGGTCGCTTGACCTGGAGATGAAGCTCTTCATTCGACGATGAGGTGGCCTGGACATGGCCATAGATCTGAGGAGCCTTCCGTGCTGCCGCCTTAGATTCACGAAGTTGTTCCTGGGTGAACAGCGGTTGCGTGGTCTGAGGCTGTGGTGGAGCTAAAGGAGCCAACATCATTGGCTTGCCCTTGGATCCAAAATCCCGCAGGCTTTCTTTCGAGCCCCCACTCTTGAACAGCTCACCTTCCGTAGGGCCTGTCGCAGAACCCAAAGGACCAGTGGTTGACCGATTCGGGGCGCTCAATTCCCTTTTTTTCTTCTTTCTTTTCATCTTCCAACACCTTCCCTTCTTCCTCTTTCACTTCAACAACTTCCAAGCCCCCATAGGCATCGTCATGCCCGGGCTCCAGCTCATCGGATGGTGGAAGTGCCAGCGGTGCATCCATCGAGCGCCGGCGTCGAAGCATGGACGAGGTGTCAGGTGGTTGGGAAGAAAAACTCTGTTGCGTTGGGCTCATAACCTGTTGGTCAGGCATGGTCCAGTGCCCAGGGTTACCCAAACACTTCCTTCCAAACCCTTCGAAAACAGCTGGTTCCTTTTTCAGCTTCTCTTGGTCTTGACCCGGTGTCACGGGCTTGATGGAGTGTGTCAACTCCATTCGAGAAAGGGCTGCAGCGAACCCTTCAAGTTCAAAAAGCAAACATGCTAGGAGGTTCTCACATCAGCAGTTTCACACCGCTTGTCCCTGCACCCGCCAAACCCTTTGTTTTCACCTCAATAGCTTTTTGTTACTAGCCCTTCGGAACCCTCCGGAAACTGCGTAGAGACTGTCCGGAATGACGGGAACCGCCGGAAACTGACCCGGACGCCTCCGGAACGTGAGGCAGCACAGGATCCATTCATCCATCCATCCATGCATCCATCCATCAACGGAGTGCCAACCAACCGACCAACCAACCAAGCAACAACG